CATCTTTCAAAATGGAATCATTCAGAAGAGTCGCAAGCTTCAATCGTTGATTGATAGATTTCTTTGCAAAGTAACAACTAGAACAACAAAAGCGTAGAGCCAAAAAAAACCAAAAAAGATGAAAGAAATCAATGCATAGTCACCAAAGCACAACTCTGATAAAGTGATTATGTTGGAATCCTTCCACTTAATCAAAGAATTAGAAACTGGTGATCTAGCGCCAACTTTCAAAACTACAGCTATTGGTTCGCCAGGAATAGGATCCAAGACTGGTGGCACTGATGTTTCTTTCGAAGCCATTTCATTTAAATCGGCTTCCAAGTCCACATTTGGGGTCACAACGCTCCCCGTGAAATTGTCTGACAGCCCTCTTGCTTTGATGAGCTTTGACCTCTCTGCACCGCCATCCTTTCCTTTCGAATCGTGTGAACCCTTAGAATGCTTCCCTCTCTTCAGCTTTCACTGAACAATCACCTTCACCATTCTTCTGCGACATTTATCTCTTCTTTGGAGATCTTTCTCATCGGAGCAGAATCTAAGTGATGACAGATTCTTGAAAATAAAGGACAAAGCACAAAAATGAAGCCTCCAACTCGCAAAGCTCCATAAAGACTGGCATGACTCTTAAATTAACACAATAAAACTCTTTTTATAACCACCGAAATTAATTAAGTCGTTACTAACGTTATCTTTTTTCTTATGAAAAGATTACAGTGTATCGATGGACACAGAACTGTCCTCATAATACTTGTTCTAAATGACTTGATAGTTATTCTTTGACAATTTTAAAAAGTCGGCATCATCACATTCTCCAAAATGGGGAAGTTTCGAACTTTCCACATTCTACTCCACTTCTTAGAAGTACATATCTCCAGATGGCTGCAATAAGTCATGTCTCTTATAACACCATGTGCTTCTACCCTTGGTAACTCGGTAAGGAAAAATTTTCCTGAAACATCTATGAGTCAAGATCACGAAATGAGTTGTTTACATCACCTAGAAAGCGAGAGCACCTGAATGAAAAACAATTCATAGTTACCTAGAGGAAAGAAAGTACTCGCGACTACTCCCTGCAAGCGTAACTTCTGAGCTCCAAGAGGAAAGAAATTTAAAGCTCAATGGTAAACTCTCGCAACTACTCTTCAAAGTATAGCCCACAAAGCTTATTGATGGTGGAAAACACCATTTCGATTGAATATAAATAGAAATATCTCCAAACAAACTCGATAGAGCAAAATATCTGTTGCGATCATCTCATCCCTCAAGTCATGAATAGGGGTTAATTATTCTCTTACTCTTTCATTATCTTACTTTTCTAACAATTTCGTGTCGAAGAGCTAAGAGAATCAAGAAACTATATGTATATAAAAAAAATGAGTTTCTTTAAATAACAAAAAAGCCCAAAAAACTGAGTCGTATGGGCTCAATGGATCAAACCCGCCAACCATCAATTCAATGGTTTAGCACTGACCAGATCAATCGTATTTGTTAATCGTACATTCAAAAGCGACAAGCTACAAAGCTTCTTGCCACCCATAAGAAACCCACTAGTACCACTGAAGTACGTCATTATTCCTATGAGTGTCTCAAAACGAGTTATCTAGTCTTAATCTTCAAGCGAGTTCTTCCAGTCAAACTCGTTCACACTGCCCGAGTTTTCATTCTAAACCTACACGAGCTAGTTAGACCTTCCGACAACTGTCTAGCTATGTCATCAAGCTCGACAAGCGGTTCTTCAAGGTAAAAGAAAGTTAACTCTTCCATATCAGCATGCATATCACCATTTATTAATAGCTTGACAATTCACACCAGTAGTCTTATCGATAAGGAAATTGCTCAAGCTTCGTACTATACAACCTATAACCTAGTTTTATATTTTATTTTTTAGACTTATGTGTGGGTACACAAGCCCCGTAGTATATAAAAAAGAAGAAAAAGCGAAAACGATGATATACCTCTCAATTCTAGGGCCTAAAAACCTCATTGACCATCTCTCTCTCAAAAATTTCCTCAGCTTCTTCTAACTCATTCCTTAAGGTCTCTCTCGGATTGTATGAGTTCGCGAATTACACGAGATCTCATGCCCCAAAGGATTCAACACATAGGGTTTAACAAATTGAAAATTGCTCATGTTTCACAAATCTTGAATCCTGAGGCAAACAGCAAAACAATCTTCAGATTTCAACACACTCAAGGTTTACAAAATCTAAATTTACTGGTTTTGCTAAATCCTACTCAGTCAAAGCTTATATTTAGCCAAGCAATCCCTTAAAGACTCCAACAGGCTTCATTAAACATACCAAAAAAGAAGAGGGGTAATCCACGGAGGATTTGATAGAGCTCAAACGAAATGTAAAACTCGATTGCACTAGGCAAAACGGACTCAACCAAAATCCGAAGCATAAACTAGAAACACTGATAAAAACAATCCATTCATCAGCCAAAAATTAACAGAGTATATGGTATTTGACGATGTGATGTCGTTGCACAGATCAAATTGGAAAAAAGAAAGAAAAATATAGCAGGCTATTTGATTTACACTGATCTGGAAGCTGAGAGTTGGAAAGAGTTCAGATCCAGTATAGCCGCAATCTCAGACGCCTTCCTGTGCGAAGCCATTTCCGGACGGCTACTTGGGAGCCAGAGAGAGCGAGAGGGCAAAAGAACGCCTTCAAAATCCAAAATCCACGATTTGGATGGAAATTGGACGCATCGACTTTCTTAGGTTGGAAAATTAAACTTGACTACATAAAAGTGCCTTGGACTGCGGTTGCAGCTTGGGCCGCCGATAAGCCGGGGGGTGGGGGGTAGGGTGGTGAGGAGGAGATGAAAAGTAATAAAGATATTACATTTTTGTATGTGCTTTAAAAGAGTATGCATAGGGGTATTTTTGGTATTCTATATAAATAAACTTATGGTTCGACCACTTTCTAACTTGGCCGACTAACCTTAATAGGCTTCGGGTTGGCAGGATTAGCTCTGTCTGCTGAGATCAGCTTAGTCGGTTGAGATCAGCTTGATCGAATTAGCTTTCTCGATATAGATATGTAGGATTATATGACCCAGTTGTTAATATTTGATTCCTTATAAGAAGCCACTTGGCGTCATTGGGATTTGGAGATACTAGAGAACCAAATCTTCCCTTGGATTGGTTTTCCTATAATGGTTGGCTCGGATACCCATTTGTCTTGTTTTTGGTTGAGTGATTTGTTCTTGCATCATTCGGTCGTCTTTTGCACATCTCATGTTTTGGTCGAATTTGGTCTTGCTGGCTTGCTTGGATAGCTTCACTCGGCCGAATTAGTAGGCCTCATGATCTTACTGTTGAATCTCCTCAGGATTAGCTATAGCACATTTTTCATTTATATATTTTAATTCTTAATTCTCCTATTTTTAGAAAGCACAATAAGAATATACAAAGTAAATGCAAAAATAGATTTCAGTTGTTCTTAATTAATGACTTAATAATTGAACTCCTCCTTCCCATAGATAATTATTGCCCTCAGCTCGCTCTCTTATAACATCTGTAGGATTATATGAACCAGATGTTGATATTTGATCCCTTATAAGAAGCCACTAGGCGTCATTGGGATTTGGAGATACTAGGGAACCAAATCTTCCCTTGGATTGGTTTTCCTTTGATGGTTAACTCGGATACCCATTTGTCTTGCTTTTGGTTGAGTGATTTGTTCTTGCATCATTCGGTCTTCTTTGGCACATCTCATGTTTTGGTCGGATTTGGCTTAACTGGCTTGCTTGGATAGATTCACTCGGTCGGATTAGTAGGCCTCATGATCTTACTGTTGAATCTCCTCAGGATTAGCTATAGCACATTTTTCATTTATATATTTTAATTCTTAATTCTCCTGTTTTTAGAAAGCACGATAAGAATATACAAATTAAATTCAAATATAGATTTCAGTTGTTCTTAATTAATAACTTAATAATTGAACTCCTCCTTCCCCTGGATAATTATTGCCCTCAGCTCGCTCTCTTATAACATCAACTACATCACCGCCATTCTCTGTGGCAGCGAGTCTTCTGTCGATATCTAGGCATAAATTCTTCAGGTATTATCCATATACAACTTCAACACTGACGCAACCATGGGAGAGGATCTAATAATAGCAGATAAGCTGATGAGGAAGAGAAATAGAGAGGGTAAGAGGACAAGAAAACTTTCTAACTTGTGATAGAGACTGCATCTTGATTTCTCTCTCGTTTATTCTATTTTCTAATTGTAGCTTAATGATTTTGACGATGGACTGGATTGCTCTAACCGTCATCTCTCAGCATCTCATTCTTCTACCAGAACTGCTAGAGACAAAATAAGTGCCCACTTTTATAATTTCATATTATCCAATTCTGTTGAAAAGAAAAAAAGCTTCTATAAACTTATGTACAGATCAAATCATTTTAATCAAGTCACCCAATGGCCTTTTTTGTGCGGACTATTGACGTAACTTTACGTGCCGCGGAGGTTATTCCTGAGTTATTTTTAGGTTATTTCTGGGTTATTTTCAATAATCCCGAAATAACTCAGAAATAACCCGCGATCTTTATTTTTGGGTTATTTCGATATTATTAAAAATAACTCAAAAATATTCTGAAAATAACTCAAGAATAACATGCACGACACGTAGAGCTACGTCAAGAGTTCGGACAGAAAATGTCCACCGCCCTATAACTTTTTTGTTTCATATTTTTACATATAAATTTTGGCAGCTTTTTGAAGTATTTCTAGGACATTTGTGCGAATCGATGAAAGGAATTATTCAGCCGAACAGAAAATGCCCACCGCCCTATAACTTTTTTGTTTCATATTTTTAGATATAAATTTTGGCAGCTTTTTTGAAGTATTTCTATACGGGACATTTGTGCGAATCGATGAAAGGAATTATTCAGGTACGGAGTGGTATGTATGTAAATCTTTCTTAAATTTAGATAGTATAAAATATAGTACTCAAGTTTAAATAGCAGCAAGCCGCCCCCACTTGTTTTCCTAGCTTCAACTTGGTTGTTCTTCACTCTCTAATGCCGTTTATGGCCCTCCCGGGATCACCTCAGATCCCTCTAGCTGCTCCCTTGCCCTCCTCCATCTCCCCTTCACACCGCCGGCTACCGCAGATTTTCCCTGTTCCCATCTCCGCCTCTAAATCTTCAGAGCTCCGGTCAAAGGCAATCGAATTCACTTACAGCAGAGCTGATCCTTCCATAAGATGGCCAGATTTGAGGATTGACGAACATTTCTTCACTCGACAACCCCATCTTCCCTCCCCTTCCCCCGCTGCCTCAGATACTCATTTCCCTAATTCTAGAAAAGACTCCAATGACAAACACGAAGATCCAGATAACCCAGAAGATGCGGAATACCATGAAAACCTGGATGACAAACAACGGCGATACCGCGGCAGAAGGATGAGCAAGCTCGCTTTAAAGCGAGCTAAGGATTGGAGACAAAGAGCACAGCTGCTCGCCGATCAAATCCTCGCCCTCCCTCCTTCCGGGCTCGTCGCTGACGTTCTGGACAACCGCGCAGTGCAAATGACTCCCACCGACCTCTGCTTCGTCGTCAAGTTCGTGGGCGCCTCCAGCTGGACCCGCGCTCTCGAAACTTTCGAATGGCTTAATCTCCGGCGGCGATACTCTCCCTTACCTCGGATGCTTGCTGTCATGATCTCCATTCTTGGACGGCATCGTCAGGACTCCCTCGCAGAGGAAATATTTCGGCGTTCTTGTGTTATCGGGGATGCTGCCGTGGATCCGTCTGTGCAGGTCTTTAATGCTATGATGGGAGTCTACGCTCGTAGCGGGCGGTTTGATGATGTCCGGAACCTGCTCGATGAAATGCGCAAGATAGGCCTCGAGCCGGACCTTGTCAGCTTCAACACCCTTATAAATGCTCGGGCTAAGTCCGGGCAAGTGCCGGCAGGCGCCGCACTGGAGCTTCTCCAAGATGTCCGAGGCTCAGGGCTGAAGCCAGACACAATCACTTACAACACTCTCATCAACGCTTGCTCTCAAAGCCCTAATCTACAGGAGGCCGTGAGTATCTTTGAGGACATGATGAGATCTAAATGCCAGCCTGATCTCTGGACTTATAATACGATGATCTCAGTCTATGGCCGCTGTGGGATGACCCAAGAGGCCGAGCAGCTATTACATGAAATAACGTCGATGGGTTTTTGTCCCGATGCTGTTACCTATAATTCTCTTCTTTATGCATTTGCAAAGGCTGGTAGTGCTGTGAAGGTGGAAACTTTATGTGAGAAGATGATCAAGGCTGGGTACAACAAAGATGAAATCACATATAACACAATCATTCACATGTATGGGAAACAAGGCAGAGTAGATTTGGCCCTCCGGCTGTATGATGAGATGAAACTGGCCAGTTGTAGTCCTGATGCAGTCACCTATACTGTATTGATTGATTCACTTGGAAAAACTGATAGGATTGTAGAGGCAGGCAAGTTGATGTCAGAGATGGTTGATGCAGGGGTGAGGCCTACTTTGAGGACTTTCAGTGCCTTGATTTGTGGATATGCCAAGGCTGAGATGAGGGTAGAGGCTGAGAGAACCTTTGATCTTATGGCAAGGTCAGGGATTAAGCCAGATTGTTTTGCCTATTCTGTTATGTTGGATATGTTGGTAAGGGCCTCCAATAACAGGAAGGCAATGGCTTTATATCGGGAAATGAGGCAAGATGGCTTTAGACCTGATAATAATTTATACCGGATTATGTTGGGGGCTTTTGCAAACGAAAATAAGTTCATTGATGAGATTGTCAATGACATGCAAGGAACTTTTGGGATGAGTTTGAGTGAAGTTTCCTCTCTTCTTGTCAAGGGAAAATGCCTTCTTAAAGGGGTGGAGATATTGAAACGGGCTGTAATTCAAGGTTTCAAACCCAATCATGAATGCTTGTCAGCCATTTTTAATGGCTATACTTCATCAGGTAGCTATCAAGAAGCACAAGCCTTTCTAGATTTCTTGAAAGAAAATGTACCCGAATCCCATTGTTTGATGACTGAAGCTTCTATTATACTTCACTGTAATAATCACCAGGTGGATGCTGCATTAGAGGAGTACAAGAAAATGAAGTTGAGTGGTCTGGTTTTCTTAAGCAAAGGTGTTAGCCTTTATGAAGCGCTAGTCACTTGTTGTGAAAAAACTGAATCTTTTTCAGAGGCTTCTCAACTATTCTCAGATATGAATTTTCTTGGCGTTGAACCTACTAAGAAAATTTATAGGAGTTTGATCACAGTCTACTGCAAAATGGGTTTTCCAGAAACAGCTCATTATGTGCTGGATAAGGCGGAATTGTCTGGTATATATTTCAACGATCTATCGATTCATGTGGACTTGATTGAGAAATATGGGAAGCTAAGGCTATGGCAGAGGGCTGAGAGCTTGGTAGGGAAGCTCAGGCTTCGCGCTCCTATTGATATTAAAGTCTGGAATGCTCTTATATATGCCTATGCTGAGAGTGGTCGCTATGAGCAAGCAAGATCGGTGTTTAATATGATGATGAAATATGGTCCAGAACCTTCTGTAGAATCTGTGAATGGTCTCACGAAGGCCTTAATAGCTGATGGAAGATTAAATGAGGTTCATGTTGTAATTCAGGAATTGCAAGTTATGGATTTTAAGATAAGCAAAAGCACCATAGTCATGATGCTTGATGCATTTGCAAGAGAAGGAAATATATTCGAGGTAAAAAAGATATACCATGGCATGAAGGCAGCAGGCTATTTGCCAAATATGCAGCTTTATAGAAGTATGATTGAATTGTTTTGTCATGCAAAACGAGTACGAGATGTTGAGTTGATGGTTGCTGAGATGGAAGAGGCTGGTTTAAAACCAGACATATTTATCTTCAATGCTCTACTAAAGATGTACACAAGAATTGAAGATTTTAAGAACAGCTTGGAGATTTATCATAGAATTGTAGAGGCTGGATTGAGCTTGAATGAAGATACCTTCAATACACTTATAATAATGTATAGCAGAGATATGAAACCTGAGCAAGGTTTTATTGTCCTAAATGAGATGGAAAAAAATGATCTTGAACCCAAATTGGATGCCTATAAGAGTTTGTTGGCCTCATGTGGGAAGGGGCAGCTATGGGAAAAAGCTGAAGAGCTTTTCCAAATCATGTTGTCTAAGGGGTTTAGATTGGATCGATCTTTCTATCATATTATGATGAAGATATATAGGGATTCTGGAGACCACTTCAAAGCTGAAAACTTGCTCACTTTGATGACAGAGGCTGGTGTAAAGCCAACAATTTTCACAATGCATATGCTTATGGTTTCTTATGGAACGGCTGGGCGGCCTCAGGATGCAGAAGAAGTGCTAAAAAATATAAAAAACTCAAATTTTGAACTTAGTGCATTACCCTACAGTTCTGTGATTGATGCCTACTTTAAGGGTGGTGATTATAGACAGGGAATTGCTAAAATGGTGGAAATGAGGAAAGATGGAATTGAAGTAGATCAAAGAATATGGACATGTTTTATCAGGGCTGCTAGCTTCTGCCAGCAGACAACTGATGCAATGCTTCTCCTTAATACCCTACGTGACAATGGTTTTGATCTTCCTGTCAGGTGCAGCAAATGTTGACCTTCATTAAAAGATCATTTTTCTCCTTTATCTGTAGCGCACACAAGGAGTAGATGTTTTATATCCTTCTTTTGTTTTACAGACTTCTGACTGAGAACACGGAGGTACTGGTTGCCAAGGTAGAGAAAGTGCTGGGGGATTTGGTGCCCGAGGAAGACGATGCTTGTTTTAATTTTGTGAATGCTCTGGAAGATTTGCTGTGGGCCTTTGAACGGAGAGCCACTGCTTCATGGCTTTTTCAAATGGCAATAAAAAAGGGCATATACCGTCATGGCGTGTTTCGGTATGAATGCAGAACCTGGACTGATTTTGAGGAATTATATAAAGAGAAGAAGTGCATAAAATCATCTTTCTTAGGCTGTTATTTATGTATAAGTTTTAGATATTTTAATTATTTCATATCTGTAGACAAGCACAAAATATGCCTATTAGATGCTGATAAATTAGTGTGATAGGATTAGGAAGAAAAAATGATAGTACTGAGATTATTTAAATATAAATTGTTCGAAATGATTAATCAAAAATATATTAAAAATTATAACTTGATATTAAATCGATGCAATAAATAATGAAATAAGCAAAAAGAAAGAACACATAGACTTTATGTGGAAAATATAAGACGGGAAAAATCACGGGTTGAGGAGTAGAATTCACTATCAAATAAGAGATTACAAGTGGAGAGTATCTTGCGCAAAACAAAAGAGGGGTATTTATGGTTTTAGCAATTTCCCTTTAAATAAATAATAAAAAAAAGCCAATAAAACAATAGCACGCAGACTGCAATCTAAAGCTATTATAAGCTCGTTCTTATGGTCAAAACCTTCAATACGTGTGCTCAGAGTTACCTTCTAAAGCCACAATCCGTGCAATCATAATTTTCTTATAAGACGAAATGGGACCCACAAAATTCGCGTCATAAATTACCATTCTCCACCTTGACACGATTTTCCAAAGACGTAATGAATATAGCTTTTTTCACTTCTTCCACAAAGCTCTAATGATCAGTAATGAATACGAACCAAGTCTAAACAATGCTCAAAATTGACTATTGGAAGTGCTTTAGTCATCATATCTGCAAGATTATCATGGATCTTACAACAATACCACCACGAGCGATAACTTCACGAACAAAGTGATAAGGTGTGCTTATTTTTCTCATTAAACATTTTATCTTTGCTGAGATCAATAGCACTTTGACTGTCAAACATCAGCATAATTATTTTCAAATCTTCACTAAGCTCTTCAAATAGACCTTTTAACCAGAAAGCTTCTTTGCAAGCTTTAGTAATTGTCATGTACTCAGCTTCAATTTAGATAATGCCACTATTTTCTATAAAGTAGCCTTTAAGCTAATCATACAGCCACTAGCAGTAAACATGTATCCTGTAAGTGATCTACTTATATCAAGATCTCTACAAAATCTGAATCAACATAGCCAATGACTCTGTAGTTCTCCCGAATTGCAAGCAAACATCTTTTGTTCTACATAGATACTTGAGAATCCACTGAACTGTTTTCCAATTTTCTTTACTCGTATTACTCATATATCTACTAATTGTACTGAATAATTATGATAAATTTGGACGATAAAATACCATAGCATACGTAAGAGATCCCACTGCACTAGAATATGGAACTCGAGAAATATATTCAATCTCATCATCAAATTGTAAACACAAAGATGATGAAAATCTGAAATGCACAGCTAATAGAGTACTTATAGGTTTGACATTTTGCATATTAAATCTATTCAATACTTTTTCAGTGTACCCTTGCTAATTCATAAATAATTTACATGCATTTCTATCTTTCTGAATCTCCACGCCAAGTATTTTTTTTGCAGCTCCCAAATCTTTCATTTCAAACTTTCAAACTCATTGTTAAGTTAAGTTGAGCTTTTAACATCTTGATATCATCTTTATCCTTAGTAGGTATCAACATATCATCGACATATAAAAGCAAGTAGATAAATGAGTCTTATTATTTTTCTTGAAGTAAACACAACTATCATAACTATTTTTCTTAAACTTATGAGCGATCATGAATGAGTCAAACTTCTTATGCCGCTGCCTAGGACACTGTTTCAAACCGTTAAGAGATTTCTTTAACAAACAAACATGATCTTCTTTTTCTGTAATCACGAAACCCTCAAGCTGCTACATATAGATGTCTTCTTCAAGCTCTCCATGTAAAAATAGTCTTCTCATCTAACTGCTCAAGCTCAGGTCATACTTAGTCACAATACCAAGTAAAGCTCGAATTGAGCTATGTAGGACAACCAAAGTGAATACATCTTCAAAATCTACATATGGAATTTGACTAAATCCCTTTGCAACTAAGTCTGGCCTTATATTGGGCATCTTCAGCCCCTAGTATACCTTTCTTTTTCTTATTATAGTGAACATCTTTTTTGCATTGAGGTGATTTCACCAAATCCCAAGTTCTATTTTTATGCAAGGATTCAATCTTCTCTTGCATAGCGATCATCCACTTATCAGCATCAATTGAGTTCATCGCTTTTTTATAGCTATAAGGCTATTCAACACACTCAATACATTCAGCTACATTTAGAGCATAAGCAACCAAATTAGTCTCAACATACCTCTAAGGCGACTTAATTTCTCTTCTTTGTTATATTCTTAACAATCGAATACTGTGATGATTGTTGTTGTGATGGTGGGAGAACGACATTATCATGATTATCTGAGCTTGACTCAGAAGTTATGCCCAAAGATGTGTCTGTATCAATCTGAAGTTCCATTTTTTTGCTAAACATTTTCTTTTGATCATCATTTTTAGATTTTGTAATAGATGTTGTATGTAACATGATATACAACATTTATTATAACTTTTAACTCTAATTTTATAACCAAGAAAACACACTTTATAATCTAGGTTCTAATTTACCGTTATTAGTATAAGCATATGTGAGACAACAAAAAATTCTTAAATTAAAGTAATCTGCAGGTTTACTGACCAAATTTCATGTGGAGTTTTCTTCTCAATAGCATTAGCCCAAAAATGACTTAGGTAGCTTGACATTGGAGACTATGCAACGAATCTTCTTTATTATAGTCTTGTTCATTCGCTCCGTCATGCCATTTTGCTGAGGTGTGCGTCGGTTTATGAAGTCTCTCATAATTCCTTCTGATTTGCTAAAGACATTATATCTCTTGAACAGAACTCCAACTCATTATTAGTGTGAAGTCGTTTGATCTGCTTTATAGCCTTCTTCTCGATTATGATTTTTCATTCCTTAAATGTAATAAAAACATCGCTTTTCTGCTTCAAGAAGAACACCCAAACTCTTCTGAAGAAATTATCAATGAACGCCAACATATATTTGGCTCCTCCTTTTGATTATACTATAGACGGTCCCCAAAAGTCAGAATGTATGTAGTATAATAATTCATTAGTATTGTGAATTCCAACATTTAACTTAACTCGTTTTGTTTTTCGAATACACAGTATTCTCAAAACTTCAATTTAGTAATGCTTTAACCATTTAGAAGTCCCCTTCTGCTTAGTTCAGTCTCTCATTCTCACTCATATACCCAAGACGCATTTGCCAAAGTCTAGTTGCTTCATCTTCTGACATGGAAGAAGTAGTAACTGTTGCATCACGTACCACAGTAGAGCCTTGTAAGATCTATAGCCCCACAATTTTCTTCCGTCCCTTCGTCATAATAAGAGATCCTTGGCCTAGCTTCAAAACTCCCACCTTCACCAAAGTACTTATACCCATAAGAAACAAAGAGTACTTAAAAAGATTAGATTTCTTTTCAGATTTGGGACATGTCTCCCATCTCCAAGTGTTCTGATAACTCGAACAAATATCTTGATTCTAATAGTACCGACACCGATTATCTTACAAGGAGCGTACTACTCCTTAAAGAGGTACCCTTTGACACTGTTTTATGTGTTGAAAACCAATCTCTATTGGGACACATATGAAACATACAAGCTGAATCAAGTACCCAATCATCACAAGGTTCTCCGTCTGAGACAACTAGGACTTCACCATAATTAATAACTTCTTTATCAACACTGGCTATACCATAATGATCTGATTGTTTGCCCTTTTGATTTTAAGTTGCTTTCTTATTTTTATTCTGAATTTGTAACATTCAGATTTGATGTCCCTTTTTCTTACAGTAATTGTATATCTTATCTTTATTTCTAGGATTTGATCCACTCTTTGTATCGGCACTTAACTCTTCTCTTGAGTTTTACCTTTAACGAGAAGGTCTTCTCATTGAGCAACAAGTTCATCCACTAGTTGTTTCATCTTCTCCTTACCAAGTAAAACATCATATACTTTGTCTAAAGTAAACATCTCTCGCCCATACAAGATTACTTCTCTAAACATTATATATGATGAAGACAGTGAGCATAATAAGATTAGTGTCAAATCGTCTTCGTCATAATGAACTTCTATGTCTTTCAAATCAGAGACGATTTTCTTAAAAATAGTTAAGTTATTTATAACAGATGCACATTCTGTCATTCTATGAGAGTGTAAACGTTGTTTTAAGTGCAACTTACTAGTCAGGCCATGCTCAATTGCTCTAGTTTGAGTCATAACGCAGCGTTGGTCTTCTCCTTCAAAACTTCATGTAGAATCTGGTGTTTTAAATGAAGATAAATTTGAGAAAGAAACTTTCGATCTTTAGGTTGCTTTTCCTCCAACGTCCATGATGAGGGCATTTTTTTGAACCCAAGTAGCCTATTGTTTAGATCCATCTGTACTAAGACTCCTTGCATCTTAACCTCCCAAAGAGGAAATTTTTTGTTGCGATCTAAAAGAGGGATGTCATTCTTAATTGTTGCCATCGCCGAAATCATGTATGACTTTGATACCACTTATTATAAGTTGATATTAAATCGATGCAACAAATAATGAAATAAGAAAAAAAGAAAGAACACATAGATTTTACGGGAAAAACCCAAGTTGGGAAAAATCATGGGCAGAGGAGAATTACTATATCAAATGAGAGATTTCAAGTGAAGAGTGTTTTACACAAAATGGAAGATGAGTATTTATAATTTTAGCAATACCCCTTTAAAGTAAATAATTAAAAGAGAGCCAATAAAATAATGACTTACGGATTGCAATCTAAAGACTATTATAAGCTTGATCTAACGGTCAAATCCTTGAATCCGTGTGCTCATAATTTCTTTCTAAAGTCACTATCTGTGTGGTCATATTTTCCTTAGGAGACGAAACGGGACCCATAAAATTCATATCATAAATTTAGTATTTAATATATCTGACAATTATTTATAGAAATGAATGAAAAAAGTGAATTTATTATGTCAAAACCAAAATAAGCTCTGAATGTTTGCACTGCTTTTGTCTAGGAATTATCTGTGTTGTGTTTAAATGAAAACTATGTCAAAATCCTCACATTCTAATTTCTAAGTTATGCTGAGTCGAAGATTTACAAGACATTTTTTTTTGTTTAAAATAAAAACGGTTGCCAATAAGAACCTGAGTAAGATTCCATTGATTCTGCAACTTCTGATGTATTGCAAGCAGGGTTGCAGATCGGGACTGGGGAGCTGATTTCAGAAAACTTTCAGGCGGTGCAGCACTTGTAGCTCTTACGCTATGGCTTGATTATATGCAAGTAAGCACTTTGTGCGTGCAGGAATTCTAATGTAAAACTTTTTACTGGCTTCTGATTTTTATTTTATTTTTTCTCTTGCATGCAACAGGATGCTTCATTGCAGGGATCTCCGGAGTCACCTAAATCAGTTGTGTTGATCACAGGGACTGCAGAGTACAACCTGGTTTCCCTGGACAAAACCCTCAAGACATATCTCTGGGAAATGGGCTCACCATTCCTTCCCTGTAAAACTCGATCCGGCGTCCTTGTGGCAAAAGCTCACTCCCTTAGGATGTGGCTAAAGGATTCTTCATTCTGCATGGATCTGGAGTTGAAAGATGCGCCCTATCTTCCCAGTTCTAATTCGATGTCTCTCACAGACGGCTATTTTATGAGGGCAGGGTTAGTTTCAGCTTTTAAAGATATAAATGACAGAGTTGGAAAGGTGAACCCTAAGAGATTTGCGAGGCTAGCTTTATTGTCTGAAGAGAACAGAAACAAGGCGATCGAGGCTCATATAAAGGGCAGAAAGGAAAAGCTTGAAAAGTTGCAGAAAAGGGGGAATGTAATAGCGAGGAAAGCGACAAGATTGCGCACTGGAAAGTTTATGAGGCGGCGGCATACTGCACTGGCAACTCAACGTTAGTTAAATGAATGTTGACATATAAGTATCAAATTTTATGTGTTTGATTTGTAATTACAAAAGATTTGTGCTGTATATATGTAAATTTTCCTAAAAAATTGATCCCAGTTTTACGATTTAAAATTTGCTAGAAAGTTTTCAAGAATATTTTCTGTCATGCTGTGGAAGATTGGCTGTGGAATATATCACCATCATTCCTCACGGACGGTTTCTCGGCGGAGTTACACCGCCTGTAACCTCTCTGACCTCTCCCCCGCCCCCCGACCTCTCCGCTGCCCTGCAATCTTTCACCGCCACCGGCGACCTACGCAGCGCCGCCGCGGCTCATGCCCGAATCATTATCCTTCATGATCTCGCATCATCTTCCTTTTCTCTCTGGAACAAGCTCCTCAAGTTCTACCTAAACTATGGTCACCCCCGCGATGTCCGCCTTTTGTTTGATCAAATGCCGAACAGGGATGCCGTATCTTACAACACTTTTATCTCCGCTCATATCCGCAGCAATGGAGATCCTACGGAAGCCGTGTTTCTGTACTCCCGAATGCTGGAGGAAGGAATGACTCCCAATGCCCTAACCCTATCAGTACTGCTCTCGGGTTACAATACTAGTAAGTATCCTTGTGTGCTGATGCAACTTCACTCACATGCGATAAAATTTGGCTTATGCTCCGATGGATTTGTCGGAGGAGCTTTGGTGAATTGCTACGAGAGGTTATCAGGGCTTGAGGACGCCATTTGTGCGTTTGAAGATATAACAGAGTTCGATTCAGTCTCGTGGAATATAATGATTGATGCCTGTGCTTGCAGCGGCAACAAAGAGAAGACCGTCTCCATTTTCTTAAGAATGAGATGGGAAAATGGTGGCTGCTTCGATTGTTTTGCGTTGACGAGCGTCTTGAAAACCTGCTTGGAGAAGAAGGATTTGGACCTGGGCATGCAGCTCCATAGCTGCGCTTTGAAGTTTGGGTTGGACTCCGATACTCCAGCTGGAAATGCTCTACTAACAATGTACTCTAGATGTGGAGAAGCCATTGATTCTGCCTCACAAGTGTTTGAGAGAATTCCGAAACCGAATATCATAACTTGGACAGCAATGCTCAGCGCATTTGTGCAGTATGGGATGACGAATGAGGTGATTAGCTTTTACAGAAAAATGCTCGGAGTAGGCATAACAGAAAATGAATATTGCTTTGCTACTGTTTTGCCTGCTTTCAGTGAATTATCCGTTGTTGAACATGGGAGAATGATTCATTCCAGAGTATTGAAATCCAAAGTTCAATCAGATGTTGGGGTGGGCAATGCTCTTATGGATATGTACTTTAAATGTGGGAGCTTGGAAGATGCTCATTTGGTCTTTCAGACCATGAAAAACATTGATGTGGTGTCATGGACCATAATGATTTATGGCTATGGTCAGCATGGGAAGGGAAGAAAAGCTCTCGAGCTGTTTGAATTGATGAAAAAACAAGGCTTTAAGCCTGATGGAGTTACTTTCCTTGGTGCCTTATCTGCCTGCAGCCATGGAGGTCTTGTAAATGAAGGACTTGGGATTGTGGAATCCATGATTGGCGAATACTGCATAAAGCCTAGAAGGGAACATTGTGCATGTGTGGTAGATTTGTTTGGTAGAGCGGGAAGGTTGAGAGAAGCTGAGGGGTTTATAGAAGAGATGGGTGCGGGATCGGATCCGTTGGTGTGGGAAACACTTTTAGGGGCTTGTGAGATATATGGAGAAATGGAAGTTGGAAAGAGGTCAGCAGATAAGCTAATGGCACTGAAACCAGGCAATAATGGTCCATATGTCTCTCTCTCTAATATTTATGCTGAGCAAAAGATGTGGGAAGAGAAGGGTGAGTTGAGGCAGAGATTGGATGCAAGTGGAATGAGAAAGGATGCGGCACAGAGCTGGGTTTGAGCTTTAGATATTTGATTGGAAGATTTACATACATGCCACTCAATTCTTATGTATTTATCTATGCAAGAAAATGTGTATTTCAATGCTTAAAAGTTAATAGTGGTTTTTTTTTAATGTGATATGAAGGATTTTGGTTGTTTAAATGCAAAAAAGTAAAGTTTAGGTGTTAAACTAATAATTCTGGAGCATGCCACTTGTCTTCCAATTGTTAAATGGTAGTATCTTTGCGCCGTTACACCCACATACAAACAAACCATTTTCATGGTAAAACCCTGCTTTATCCTCGCTTATATAATACAGATTGTAGAATAACATCTAAAACAGATTGC